AGAGAGTGAGGAAGGGGAAAGGAGGGGGAGAAAGAGGGAGAGAGGGAGAGAGGGAGAGAGGGGGAGAGGGGGAGAGGGGGAGAGATTGACTCTGACTAGAAAAAAGGCAGGACTGAATAGCTTAGGGCTTCTACTCCTGAGGAATACTTCAGGGAAACCAAAGCCCTAGGGACTGATAGCTGCTATTGTTTCTCCTCTTGGGATGTCCCTTTTATATTCCATTATAGTAATAAAATTAACTACAAAAGGGTCTGAGGCTTTTAAACAGTGGTTAAAGAGGTTAGAACCACCATAAGAAAGCTGACACAGGGCGGTAAAGAAAAAGATTATCAACTAGGCTTTAATCCACTATGATGCATTATTTAATTATAAACACAGGATTCTAAATACAGAATCTCAGAAAGAAAGCCACCCTCCCTCCCATACCAAAGGTTGATCTAAAAGAAGAAATGGTCCTTTCACTTTTTAGGAGAATGTGTATTCTCAAGTGCCACTTCAGTTATTTGATACTTAGGATTTATTTATTTATTTATTTTTTAAAGAGACAGGGTCTTGCTCTGTTGCCTGGCTGGAGTGCAGTGGCCTGATCACAGCTCACTGCAGTCTTGAACTCACGGCCTCAAGTGATCCTTCTGTGGCAGCCTCCTGAGACTGCTGACGGTACCACCATGCCTGGCTATTTTTAAAAGTTTTTTGTAGAGAAAGAGTCTTGCTATGTTGCCAAGGCTGGTCTCAAACTCCTGGCCTCAAGTGATCCTCCCACCTCAGTCTCCCAAAGTGCTAGGATTATAGGCATGAGACCCCGCACCCAGCCCAGACACTTAGGATGTTTAAGTAATGTGACTAATACATCTTCAACTACTGAAGAACTGGGCAGATAGATCAACTCTAGTTTGTTCCTTAAATCTGTTAGCTTTTAAGTAATATAGTATCTACATCAAAATATACCAAGTTTTTGGCCAGGTATGGTGGCTCACACCTGTAATCCTAGCACTTTGGGAGGCTGAGGTGGGAGGATTGCTTGAGGTCAGGAGTTTGAGACCAGCCTGAGCAACAGCGAGACCCTGTCTCTACAACTCATAGAAAAATTAGTCGGGCGTGGTAGTGTGCCTATAGTCTCAGCTACTCCAGAGGCTGAGGCAGGAGGATCATTTGAGCCCAGGAGTTTGAGGTTGCAGTAAGCTATGATGATGCCATTGTACTCTAGCTGGGGCAACAGAGCAAGGTTCTGTCTCAAAAAACCAAACCAAAACAAAACAAAAAAACACCAAGTTTTTAAACAGAAGTTTCCCAAAGTAATAATCTACCACATAACCACTAGAAACATGGTAGATATAGAAAAAAGAGATAAGATAAAAATTTCTAATATCTAACTTGATTTACTAAGACGAAAATGAGATTTAGAGTTATTACTCACCAGCATTTAAATGACATTCCTTAATCTGAAACTGAAGTTCATTTTCATTGGGAATATCCTTCCATGTTGCAAGGAAGACCTGGCGCTCTGTATGGGGAAACAGAGAGGAAGGATGGATGCGCACAATCTGTCAGTATTCCGAGTTCTGGTGCTTTGCACCACTTCTCCTTTAGCATGCTGGCTCTTGCAGTACAGCTACCAGCAGCCTGGGACTGGAGCCGATTTTTAGCTATGCGGAAGTGCTATACTCCAGGGTCAATTAATCCCTCACCAATAACACTAAGATACCTTAGAAAAGAGTTTACATCTAGGATTTCGTTTTGGCTCCTCTGTTTTTCTATTTGGGTGACTCTGGATACATTTTTTTTTTTTTTTTTTGAGACAGAGTCTCACTCTTTTGCCCGGGCTAGAG